TTGTGTCTCTTCAGGTGTATATGTATATGTATATTAATTGCCAAATATAATGTTTTTTAAAGGATTTAATTTTTAAGATCTGTATCACAATATATATAATACTTAACAGCGCCAGCATTGCGTTAAACATATATATATTTTTTTTTAATTAAATTTACGTAATGGTCAGTTAACACTCAGCACCTGAAGATTGCGTTTGGAATAAAACTCCAATTTGTGCAATAATACGTATATTTATTTCTATATATTTAATAGCACTGTGATATAGCATCGAGCACTGTTTGATTAACACCAGCACTTTATGCGCAATATATATATATATATATATATATGCATATATATAGTTGTATATTTAGGCAGCAATCCTTCCTTTATGCATGTTTCATTAAAAACGACAAACAAGGTACTACGGTTAAGCTTTTTATTTAATTTTTCTTGTGTCCGAACAAGAGCTTTCTTTTCGGCCGTTGTACGTTCCGGCCTTCTTCAGGTGGTTGGAATGTCGAACTGAACCCTTTATTTCGCTCAGTGGGTTATACTGTTCTAGTTCCACGTGCTATGTTTAATGGATGTCAGTTATCAGTTATTTCTTGTTAATTTCCCTCTGAAAGTTCTCCACTGCCTTAACCGGGTATTGAACTCACACTCTTTGGGTCCTGTCACTGGATCTAACTAACGCCTTTGTGTGGATAAAGGCGTTAGTTAGTTCCACGTTCTAGTTCCATGTACCATAAGACATGGCACGTGGAACTAGAAGGGTTCAGTTCGATAAAATCAAGAGACGGATATGCAATGTGGTTGGCCCTAATCTGGCACCGTTTGCAGTCACTCTCTCACAGATGTACCGTCGCCTCCCTCTGTCTTTTCTACAAATATTTTCACGGTAAGTGCTACGACGAGCTATTTTTGATTGTTCCCAATTGCATGAATTTAAACATGCCACCAGATCGGCATCTCAGTCCTTCTCTTTCACTGTCATCGTGGTTTTAAAAAGAAGTTTACAACCAGTACAATAGCGGCAGTCAGATACAGTTTCACCTGTAAATTAAGAAGATTTGTTTGTTTTGGGTCAGCTGCTTATCAACACCTGTATGAGTTATTTAATGCCGACATCTAAATACTTTGAACACAATTTTAGTTTTCTGGAGATAATAATATTTGTAGTAATAAAAGTTTTACTAATTAACCCATAGTTCGGGGGAGAAGGGATTGATTCATACGTTTCCCAAAGGTATTAGCGCTTAAGTGAACCCAACTGGAATTGGTACTCGGCTATCCGATTTCCAACTTCGAGCACTTATCCATTACACAATCCGCATATCCAAGCTTATAGCACCTGGTATTCACCCATCTAGTATCTGATCAGTCTCGACGTTGCTTAACTTCGGTGATCTTACAGTAACCGTTATTTTAACGTGATGTGGGCGTAAGCGGTTGTCCACTGATATTAATCATTGCACCATCGCATATCCAAGCTTAAAGCACCTGGTATTCACCCATCTAGGTTCTGACCAGGCTTGACGTTGCTTAACTTCGGTGATCGTACAGTAATCGTTATTTTAACTTGATGTGGCCGTAAGCGGTTGTCCACAGATATTATCCATTATACCATCCGCATATCCAAGCTTACAGCACCTGGTATTACCAAGCGGTCACCCACCTAGTTACTGAATAGGGTCGACATTGCTTAAATTTGCTGATTGTACATGAATCTGTGTTTTGACGTGATGTGACCGTAAGTCTAAGCTAAGAATTAAATTCTGCATCCCAACAGGACACTCCATTGGCTACGAGAAAATATTGACGTCTGCAATATCCTCAACCTCATTCGTCTTCTTCTTCTTTGGGCCGCGTCCTTTCAAGACGTAGGTGATCATGGCCCTCCACAATTTCCTATCATTTGTAGCTCTTAGTAAAATTTGTCTTTTTTGTTACCTCTCCTAAACCCTGTTTTGCCAACGATTTGCACAAGCATGTTAAGTAGGTTATGCACTTCTTTCCTCTGTCCTAGTGTCTTCAATAAGTCCTGTGCATGTCAAATTTTCTAAGCCCTCCTTTCTCGTTATGTGTTCTAGAAATTTCAACTGTCGCTTTGTGATGCACAAGCGTCCTTTCCAATTTTCTTTAAGACTTCAGAGTTGTTCGCATGTTCGGTTCATGGTATTCTCAGCATCCTCCTGTAGAACCACATTTCTGTTGCCTCAAGTCTCTTCTTCATCTGTAGGGAGATTGTCCAGCATTCCCTGCCATATATGAGAGCTGATACTACATAACAGTTCAGCAATCTTTTCTTTGTTTCTAACAAATTTTTCCTATTTCTTAATACTCTTCTTAGCTTTCAGAAGGCATCTTTCGCTATCCCAATGTATCTTCGGATTTCGGTGTCTGATTTTTCGTCATCAGTTAAAACAATTGCCAGATATTTAAACTGCTGTACTTGTTTGATTCTGGTGTCTCCACTTCTTAATTAAACTGTTTCTCATCTGTCTATATTTCTGAGATGGGGTATTATAACTATTTACACTATTTACATCGTTCGGACTGTTGTCTTCATTTTTATTGCCATATTCACGACGTTTCGGCCTTTGTACGTTCCGGCCTTCTTCAGATGATATTAGCTGGGAATTCGAACTTTATTTAGTCCACGGTGGGCAGATCCTTCAAATTGCCATGCATTTGAATATCTCCCATATTTTCCGTCCTATGTTAAAACACTTTCTAGATATTTAAGTATTTGTACTTGCTTGTGTTTTTTTTTTTGTTTCCCAATTTGCAAATCGCATATTGGGTTATAGATTCTGTCTTCCTACTTTGCTTTACAACCTTCTGTGGGAGTTCCTTTAGTCAAATGAATTAGATAACATATACAGGTTGCAACGGTTTAAATGTAGCATTTTATATTTTTAATTTCGCGCATGCGCGTTGTTTGTTTTTGTTTTTGTCCACTGCACAGCATAGTAGAGTCACTTGGGCACCGTCTATGAGAAAAGGAGCACCATGATGCAATTCACAAAATTTGGAAACGACGTGTTGTACCGCTTGACATTCGCGCCGGAAACTCTAATACGAACATCTCAGAGTATTTAGGTGTTAATCTTAGAACAGTGCAGAAGATTTGGAAAGAGTTGAATGAGTCTAATAGTAATTACGAAGATGTTTGGAGTGATCGCTAATACTAGTAACGTTATGCCACTATTCATCTTCCCACGGGGCATCAGATTCAATACTGAGGCCTAAATCAGCTGCTTTGGGGGTTACTGCTGCACTGGGTCAAGACGGTGGCTGCTGGAAGACCCTATCTCTGGCACTAGAACTCTGCAATATCCCACACAAGCAGAATAAACCAGTCTTGGCTATCAGACAATTTCTGCGACTACATCACATTTTACATCCGCCCATTTAACCCCACAGATTTTAACCCCCTTATTATTATGTGTGGGGCACAGTTGAGCAGGGGACCAACAAAACTCCTTGTAACACCAAAAATAAACTGAAGGCAAGGATTATGGCAGCATACACAACTTAAACAAGGAGACCATCCAGAAGAGTTGCAGGAGATTCCAAAATCGACTGGAGGCCGTGGTTGCAGAAACTGGCGATTTTATGGAATAAGTTTACTCTTTAGTATTTCAAGACGTTTTTGTCTAATTTTGATAAATATATCTGTTAAAATTAGGTGTTATTTTCATTTTGCCGTAATTTAGACGAAAATCTATCTATCGCACACTATATACCTTGAGGTTAACCAACTGGAAACTCTCGTAAAAAAAAAAAAAATCCAAAGGATATTCTGACTGTTGAAAAGCCACGATGGCGAGATGACTTCGACAAATTTTAAACAAGAACACAAAACCGGAAGTTATGGCGACTGCTGGGAAAGTTTTTATGTCTATCAAAGGTCATGTGATAGCGATTCAGTCCAAGGCTGATAAGAAGAATTCTATATTTGTAGACATCATTTAGGTGCATGTTTATAATTATTGATATCCATCCTTAAAATCTGTCTATTCCTGAGTATGAGGATAAACTACATCCGGCAGTTAGGCTTCTGATCGTGAGATTGGGGGTTTTAAGGAGCGTGGACCCACCTCTTGATTGTCGTTGTTCCCCTGACCCAGGGTGGTAGCATCTGTTACGATCCCAGCTATCAGCAAATAGGCAACCCCAAACAAAAATCGAAATACTAGAAAAGTATAAAAATACATTTTTATAAAAAAAATTACCAACAATATATTTTCATACGAAAATTACCAGCAATACATTTTTATAGTTAAATTACTAACAGTATATTTTATAGCAAACTTACTTGCAATACATTTTTTTTCATATCAAAAGGATTGGCAATACATTTTATGGTAGAATGACCAGCAGTACATTTTTAAGAAATTGAATTGATTAAATACACCCAAACACAAACACACACACACACACACACACACACACACATATATATATATATATATATATATATATATATATATATATATATATATATGAGGTTATTTCAGCAGACGATAAAAATGATCGTCTGTCTTTTCAAACCCTATATGGAATGGAATTCACGTCCGTAGAGCTAGAGGAAGCAGGAAGTAAAAGTTGACTCTAAGGAAGTAATATAGGGAATGGGTCAACCTAAAATTTCACATGCCAAAATACCTAATAAAGAGTTTACACTTTCCGATGTATAATGCCATTAATACTATATATATATATATATATATATATATATATATATATATATATATATAATTATTTATTTTAAAATTATAACATAAATATGTTATAATTTTTAAATAAATAATTATACCTGCTCTACTCTGTATTGAGCACTCTTTTTAAGAATAGTAATTGTTGGTTATTGGAATTTATTCCGTATACACCAATCATATACTTGATATATATATATATATATATATATATATATATATATATATATATACATACACACGTTTGCTATCACTCTTTCTCTCATACAAAAATGCACAAGGACGAGCGCATACACGGCATCTCAGCATTACGAATGAATAGTGAGTTTTATTCTGACTGGTTCTCCAGACGCCACTAGATAGATAGATAGATAGATAGATAGATAGATAGATAGATAGGAACAGATTTAGATAGATAGATAGATAGATAGATAGATAGATAGATAGATAGATAGATAGATAGATAGGAACAGATTTATATATCTATTAAGATATACACCCTGTATGTTGTTAAAGGAGTTAAGCTCAAATATTTAATGATACGACAGCGGAATTTCTACGGATATTTCATAGCCGTTGAAGCTGTCATGAGCTTCTTCAATCATTAACTTAAGAATTAAGATTCATCAGAATATTTCAAATAGGACAACAATGAAAGATTTTACTATTAATAATAACACTTCTACTACTACTAATAATAATTATGTAATCGAACCTGACTTGGCATCTCGACTTCAATCTCTTTCTCACAGACGTGATGTGCCTTCCCTCTGTCTTTTCTACGAATATTTTCATGGCAACTGCTCTGCTGAGCTTTTTTCCTTGGTGCCCGAATACATGAATTTAAGCGTGCTACTAGATTGGCATCTAGGTCCCACCCCTTTACCGTTTAAATAGTTAAATGTAACCGACAATTCTATTCCACCAATTTTTTTTCTCACACTTCCCGACAGTGGAAATCCTTTCCGTTTAATTGCTTCCCTGATAACTACAATTTTCAAAAATTTAGATTGAACATCAATCTCTATCTTCTGCCAGCTTAAACCCGTTCATCTTTTATCCTTTCCTCAATCCACCCTATACGCAGTCTTTCCTCACACTTTCACTCGCTGTAACCTTCTGCGTACTAGTGGAACACCCGCCTTAGTTGGGCTGAAATGCTTAAAAAAATAAAAATAAAAATTAATAATAATAATAATAAGAAGAAGAAGAAGAAGAAGAAGAAGAAGAAGAAGAAATGTATGCACCTTTCTCTTTTACATATGCACAAATACGTATTTATCTAGACTGAAACGAGTTTTCAGAGTCGAACTATATTGTCGCCTTAATGGCAGAACTCTTTTCACATTCTTTTAGCGTTTTTCGAAAGCGCATAAGAATCCTTAAGAAACATGAAATTCATCCACTGAAGCCAATTCTGAGGAAAACGAATAAAAAATGCGTAATATTCTTTAGTTTTTCTTCTGGAATTATTTTCTAACGAAATTAACTCCTCCAAAAATAAATTTAAAAAAAAAAGTCAGAATAAAATGATAATTAAAAATAACATTTCTCCTTATATACATAAGAGGTGCAATTTTTTTTTCAATTCACTTCCGGTCATCCGTATATGGCTCTACTCACGAGATGTTGATAAGGTAACGACATTAGAAAAACAAACATTGCCGGCAAGTTTGAGGGGACCCAGTTATGTCATGGCGGGACAGGCCTTAGTGGAAACAAGTCTCTCTTTTAGCACCTTACTCCACCTTTCGTCATCACCCACCTTCCTCGTGCCCCAAATTTCTTGTCTTCACGAGCACTCGTCGACTCCATTTTTGTTTGTTCATGGTTAGTGTTCTGCTTGCTTGTTATTGCTATTAGTTTGCTTGTTTTCCGATAGCAGGAAGAGAAAATGTTTGTTTGTTTTTTCTTTTGTTGTTTTTTTTTTCTTTTCTTTTCTTTTCTTTTGTTTGTGGCTTTGGCTTTTCATAGTCTGACGTGACGTCATAGTCTGACGTGATATATTAACCAGACGACATACTGTGCTTGGTAGAACTTGTCTCCTATTTAGAATGTAATACACACGCGCGCGCACACACGCATATACACATATGGATACACATGCATTTATTATGTGGGTTGCATTTTCCTGGCAGCTTGTTTAAAATTCTTCTTTTATACATGCTTGGTTAGAAGGGAGTAGTGTGGTTTATAGTTTATTAGAGGTATTTTAGAAATTGTATGCCAATGCAGTATTGCTCGATAGGTTGTTCATCTTAACAAGCCATCACTATATATATATATATATATATATATATATATATATATATATATATATATATATATATGGATAGATAGATAGATAGATAGATAGATAGATAGATAGATAGATAGATAGATAGATGATAGAAATGTCTCACGACCTCATCAGCGTTTCTTGTTTTTAGTCCGGTAGCAGGTTTTTAATAATAAAATTAGATGTCACAAGCCTCGATATGCTTATAGATATTGTTTAAATCGAATTTGAGAGTAAATTCATAATCTGGCAGATTAGCAGGACGCGTGTAAATTACACGAATTTACTTATATTTAAAAAAAATGCTACTCTCCTTATTTTTCAAACCATGATGATTCCCAGATTATATTATAAGAAAAATGAGTCGATCTAAAAATACTGAAATATACTTAACATATCATTAGATCAGAAAAGATGATTTTCTCCCGTCACTACAAACAACTGTCATTATTTCTGCGCCATACTCTCTTTTAGACGCCCTTCGTCTCTTACTCTTCTTCAGTTTCACTCTCTATGTGCCTGTGTTTGCGTCACGGTATCTCTGATACCAAGCGTGAAACTCACCATATATAGATACAGACCTGATAATAGATAGATAGATAGATAGATAGATAGATAGATAGATAGATAGAAACAGATTCAGATAGATAGATTTAGATAGATACATAAGAACAATTCAGATAGATAGATAGATAGATAGATAGATAGATAGATAGATAGATAGATAGATAACAGATTCAGATAGATAGATAGATAGATAGGACCAGATTTAGATAGATAGATAGATAGATAGATAGATAGATAGATAGATAGAAACAGATTCAGATAGATAGATTTAGATAGATACATAGGAACAGATTTAGATAGATAGATAAATAGATAGATAGATAGGAACAGATTCAGATAGATAGATAGATAGATAGATAGATAGATAGATAGATAGATAACAGATTCAGATAGATAGATAGATAGATAGATAGATAGATAGATAGATAGGAACAGATTTAGATAGATAGATAGATAGATAGATAGATAGATAGATAGAAACAGATTCAGATAGATAGATTTAGATAGATACATAGGAACAGATTCAGATATAAATATATATATATATATATATAGATAGATAGATAGATAGATAGGAACAGATTCAGATAGATAGATATGTACATAGGAACAGTTTCAGATAGATAGATAGATAGAGAGAGAGAGAGAGGGGGGGTTACCGCTTGGAAATACCAGGTCCTGTAAGCTTAGGTGTGAGAGTGCTGTAATGAATACTAGCTCGGAATTTTACATCGGAGAACCGTGTTCCAGTTCCCGTTGTATCAGATTCTCTATGTGCCTACTTTTCCCTCTCGGTATCTGAGAATCCAAGCGTGGTACTCACCATACATAGGTAAAAACGTGTTAATATATAGAAGATAGCTGTCTGTTCGTCTCCGACTATAACTCTCTGCTAGACCAGTAAACTGATCCACTTCTGACGCTTTGCCAGGCACACTTGTGTTTCTTAAACACCCAAGAGCCAACATGGTTTACGCTGAGCGGAGCGTAATTGCAGATTCCGCTAGAGAGGGCATCAGTTCGCGTATACAGTAGTTGAACAAAGCCAGTACAAGGAAACATTCAGTCATGATGACATATGGTTTTCATCAAACTAATGATGTAAATGAAATTTGCATAGATGTCACAAGCGCCGATATGCTTATAGATATTGTTTAAATGGAATTTGAGAGAAAATTATTAGGTTGGTGCAAAAATAATGACGTAATAATGTCGTTTTTTGACGTATTTTTAACGTCAAAAACGACATTCTTACGTCATTATTTTTGCACCAACCTAATATAATCCGGCAGATTAGCAGGACGCGTGTAAATTGCACGAATTTACTAATATCTCTTTTTTAAAAAATGCTGCTTTCCGTATTTTTCAAACCATGACCATTCCCCATAGTCAAGTTGCAGTGTGCCATAATGATACGTGAATGATATGACTTCACACTCTTTAATTAATCTACAGGACATGTTATAGCAAACATGGCTCTTATAACCATTGCCAGTTATGACCAATGGATGCCCGTGTGTGGGTCAGCATCTTATGAATAAAATTCATTAAATTAAAGTGTGTAAATTGTTTTCTAGTAGTTTGTAACACGTTTATTTATCATTGCTCAGTTGCGTCTCTGTCTTTGGGAAGAGTGCACGCAGGGGGCGACTCCATTAAAGGACAGAGTCGCAAATGAGGAATGGTGCCCAGCCCTGGGGAACAGCTGCTCGAGGCCGTGCCCTCTCATTGCACCAGAGAAAGGGATCGGTGCTGGCGCCGAGGCCAGCGTAATCGACGGTTGCGGGAGCTGCGGGCAATAAACCGACCTTGTGTCACAACCTGACCGCCTGGGGGGTTGAGTAAATAGGAATTAAATTTGGGGGTTTGGCCACAAGGTTTATTAGGTTTATTGATTAAAAAATAGAATATTTTTCTTCATTAAAATTATTTTCTAAGCAATTAATGGACTTATCTTTAATCCGACAGATTTTATTACTTATTTTAGTAGAAACATTTTATTTCAAATAATCGTATCTTTTTAATTTATTACACTGTGTGAATTATGTTTTTCGACCTACGCTTTCCAAAAATCTTAGTAAAGAAGCAATGTCCTCCGACAGGGTTCGAACCTACATGACTCTTTCTAGAGGAAACTATCGTTTGACAATAAGGCTGTTTTACCCTATTTAAGAAAAGTTCATCCCATACATTCAGATTATTTTTCTCAACAGGCGATACCTGCTCAGTATCGTATCCGAAACGTCAACAAAATAATTTCTAAAGAATTAATGAATTTATTTTCAATCCGACCTTTCTCGGTACTTCAAGTGCTATTATCGGGGAAACTTCTTTTTTTTTTTAAATAGAGGCACCATTTAGCATTATTGAATAATATATTTACTGCTTCCTTTCACTGTTTCTAATAACTTTTAACCAACTCTCTATTTCCATCTTGCTAGCAAACTATTGTTTCCTGATGTTGATCTTTGAGGTCAGATGGAAGACAAAGCAAGGGAGTCAATTTTGATTGGCTGGGCCAGCGTGAGAACAACAGTTAGAGAAACGATTTTCAGGGAGTCGAGTTTTAACCGTCAAACAATGTCTGAAACGGCTCCCCAGGGGAGGAAGAGCAAACGCACTGGATAGGTAAAAATGTAGACGTCGACCTGATTCATAAAATAGCTAAGTATAATTCCCTGTGTTGAATTCTTTTATCTCTGGACTCAAAACAACTAGCTATCACCGGCCGAGAGAGAAGAAGGCAACTTTATTATCGAGGGATCACCGTCGCCCAATACTTCTCCAGAACCAGGGGGCTATACAACAAGCGTAAGAAACAACAAGAAGTGTTGTTCATGAGGTTATGTTCATGAGATTATCTTAGATAGATTCAAGCTATCTACGGTTAACCATAGGCTTGAAGGGCTCAAGATTGTAGCGGCTGGGAATACAGACTGGGAGTCTGTTCCACACAGCAGCAATCCTTGGGAAGCTATCCGGATGGAACTTACTTTTTATAAATGGAATACGAAGGGAATAAGGGCGATTCATTCTTGTGTACGCGGTATGGCAGGTCCCAGTTAAAAAGGGTAAGGATAGTGGGCCCAAAGGTTGTAGCTCGTCGGAACACTTGACATGGAAATAGCGACATATTACTGAGAGATTTGTAATGTTTTCCTTGTGAGAAAGAAGTTGTAGGGTGGAAAATAATTTATCACCCACAAGGCAACGTAGACGCTTTTGAACTCTATAAAGACAGCCAGGTGAGGACTGGGTAGCTCTAGCCCTGATATGGTAGTAAAACTCTATTTTGCATCTGATCTGACTCTTCTAAAGAGTATAGCAGTGGGGAGTCAGATGACATACTTGAGCGATACAATGAACTGACATCTTTTTTAGAGCGTCTTTCGCAATAGATCGCATATATGAGTTTCATTTGAGGTCTGAGGTGAGATTGAGTCTCAGTAGACGTTCAAGACAAATAGTCTCTTTGAGAGAAAACCAATCCATCATCATAGGTGAAAGTTCAGGATGAATCATAAGTGACAGTTGGGAATAATTTGAAGTTACATCGCCATAGCTTTTTTTTTTTTTTTTTTGCTCAGTGGTGGATTAAAGAATAAATTTCTTAACCCAACTAATGGAGATATTGAAAGTGTAATTTACGTCACATGACTATGGGAGTTCAAGCAAGGCAATAATACTATGGACATATCTAGTAAAAATGTGTTGCGATGAGAGTTAGTGAAGCATAACAGACCGGCAAGTAGGAGTGGTTCGTTCTGGAAAAAAAAACGCTGTTGGACGCTGAGCCGAGACAACGGGGTTCATCGGACTTTAAATACAAAGTTCTATAGTTATTGTTGCAAGCAACCCACGGCAAATATTCTGGGGTTATCAATAATGGCAGTGTATCATATTGTGATGGGTCCTTGCCTATAACTACAGAATGAACTCTTCCTAACACTATGTATACTACGCCTCTCAA